TTAATCACAGCATAAAAACTTTGAATTTCCAATCTTAACATACAGCGCTTATAAAGACTTTGTAAGATAAATAAGATCAATTTCAGCCCAAAAGGGTGTTCAACACCAAAGGTACCATTTTCAAAATAGAGTTTTTATGTGCACCATACCCCCCCTTCATCTACAGGGCCCGTGCAAGTATTCACACCCGGCTCCTTATCATTCAGAATCAAAACCAACCATATCTCAACCTTAAATTATACACTTTAAATCTTGATTATCCTATTTACACTTCTTGTAAAATCCTCTGTTAAACCCCTGTTTTTACCATACTTAAACCCAGATTTAGCCATAAAACTCACTGCATGTTAGGGATGGTGATTTGGCCCGACCCGGTGGGGAACCCGGTTCACCCGACCCGGACGGGGACGGGGATTCCCCGCTAAAACGGGTACCGAGGCCGGGGCCGGGGATCCCCGGTAGAGGCAAACCGGGGTTGGGGCAGGGGCCGGGTATTGTATCCCCCGACCCGCCCCGTACCCGGTAATATTGACATACAAATTATTTGGGCTACATAAAGCATATTTTGGTTGGGCTACAACATATCTGCATATGTGGGCTTTAACTTAGGAGCAGATTTGCAAAATGCTTGCAGACCCACAAGGCTTTAACTTAGGGATTTATTCACATGAATCACATAGACGTGAGACGACATTACGACAACCCTCCGGCCTCCTCCCTCAGTTCCTCCCTCGCCGTCCCTCGTGACCTCGCTCACTGCTCACGGACTGAATCTCACATCGACGATTCGACACTCACACAGTCACACGCCGACACAGCTCACTGCTCCCTCGTGACCTCGCTCTGTCGCTCACTACTCCCTCTCAGTCCCTCCCTCTCTGTCCCTCAGTCCCTCCCTCTCCGTCCCTCGTGACCTTGCCGTGCCGACTTATCGACGAGGAGTAATCGACCCACAGGCCACATTAAAGGTAATGAATTTATACTCTCTATAACTTTCTTTCCTAAATTGCTTTTTCTAATTTCAGAATTGATGTGTGTTCTTTGATGTGTGTTCAGAATTGATGTGTGTTCAATGATCATGGTTAGGAAAAACTTATTAATTTTAAATTGACCGAATGTTGACTGGGGGTTGACCGGGGGTTGACCGAGGTTGACCGAGAG